TATAACCAAACTGATCTTTCTTCTTGTACAATGAGATATGTGGAGATAAGGATCAGTATTCGAGCTCAAAAGTGCATTAAGTATTACAAAATAGGAGCAGGGCAAACACAGACCTCTAAGACATCAGAGGTGGGATCAGGTGCCATGGAGGAGTGAGCTTCCCTGCCGACCGGTCACACCCGCCGTGTGTTCCTTGTATGATCGGGGAATAACGGAAAAATCCCTTGGCAATTCAGTGTGTAAATAATGGCCTAACAGTAAGTGTAAGAAAAGTCAGTCAGCATTTGACTTAATGATAGATTGTAGTTGCTGACAAAGTCATTGTATCGACCTTAGATCTTACGAAATGATTACTTTAAACGAGATTGCTGATATTCTTGATTCATCAACTTGTTTGTCAATAACTTACCTCGTTTTAGAAATTGTTCACACGTACAGGATGCTCTGGCGAATCGAATCAACTGAGAGATATAAACCCCTAATGCAGCTGATAAGGGTAGATTGCTGCTTAAGTAAAGGAAGTTGACGATTGAAAAGTTAGATGTGTCAGACTTTGTGGTATCTTTTATCTCAAGCTCACCGGGATATATCGTGCCGGCATAAGAATGGAATTAACCATTGTTAATTGACAACTGTCGATATATTTATATGTCGAGTTGAAAGGCACAGCAAGTTTCTTCTTCTTTTCATGTAAAAGATTTTGGACAAATTTTGCTTGATATAAATCAGAAAATAGGTCTGCTAATAACGGGCGCAATTGGTATCCATGGGAATTCCAATAGATTGTTGGAAGACCTGGTCTCCAAAAACCACATAGATATTGTCAATCAGAAACTCCAGCAGCTTTTTTAATTTCAACTTCAAGTACTTGTGTGTACAATTAGATTGTTTTTTGACAGTTATTTTGCAATTGACCAATGACAAGGTAAGTAAATTTACGAGTTCCATTTTTATTGAAAAAACAGCTGTCAACGATGTCAGAAAGTCTGGACTTTAATTTATCGTTAAGAATAGTTGTATATAAAGTTGAAAAGTCGTAAGTTTTTATGCTGTTGATTTTTGTAAAAAAATTTGAATTCAAATATTCGAAATGTTCCTTTAAATTTTTCAGTATCGACATCTGATTTACACCACTTCTCGAATATATTATTGCACAGTACTCTTTAAGTTTCTCCTTCACTACTGTTAATATCTTAGTGAGGAGAAAAGGCTTGGTAGAACATTTACTGGAACCCGCTATGTATATTTGTTTGTAAGGACTTTTATGAAGTTTTGGAATCCAATATATAAATTTGGTATTTTGAATTCATTTTGGTTGCTTGGAATATCAAACGTATTCAAAACTGACACATGATTTTGAAGAATTTCTTCCTTAGAAAAGGAGCTCTGAGTATAAGTTGGATTTCCACTTGTAGAATTAAATCCCAGTTCAATTAAGAACTTGTGTTTTAGATGATTTTGCATATTAAGTTTTATTCAAATCTTAAGCCATCTTGTTTATAGTAAGTGTACCATGTATTGTTTATATAAAGGAATGGATAAAGCACGCAGTAATATGATATATTTTTTAACAAATGCTTATAAGCCATTCAAATTTGACTTTTTGACATGAAAGTATGGCAATACGTTACTTAATCTAGAAGAAGGTTTGTAATATCTTAGAAACAACACCGGGATATATTTAAATATTTAATCTAATATGTACAGCCTGACTACATTGGATGTCAGTTAGCTAGAGTCTTTGTACCTAAATAATTTCATATTTTAAAGTCTTTAGAGCGTGAACAACAGGACATTAGATGACTTACTTTCAGATTAATGTCAGTAGGTTTCTGAACTCTGGAAGAAACTAAAAGCTAAATTTGCTTACGTGTCAAATCAATTTTAAACAGATTGTGTAACGTGTAACAATTCTAGTAAACTCTAATACATTACACGTTTTCTAAAGTATAGTTTTTTCTTTAATTTTCGTTAATATTTTTTAAGCCCTTTTACAAATAGAGATGTACATACAAATTTAAAAAAATATATATGCCTATTTGAGGAATAGCAAATTATCTTGAATCTTGAGGTTTATAAAAAAAAAAAAAGTATGATTACATGTATATGCACATTGTATGAAACATTTGAAAGTTTTCAATACAGATTATTTACATATATGACAAGAAAATGTTTACATTTTTTTTTCCAAGTAACTTGAATTTATCGTTAAAGGAGATACATTATATTCTGTTTAACTTTGTCATAGTATCTTTAAAAATGATATAACCCCTTCCTGATTTTCGCGATATATCAATAACTAAGTCTTGTATTTTATGACTTTGTATGACTACTGTACTTGTTTGCTTTAACAAAACACAAGGCAGATTCAAACAAAGTACAAATGTATTCATTGTAAAAGAAATACGAATTGTGCCAAACATCTTATGTGGTCTTGTTTGAATACTAGGCTGAATAATATTTACCATAAAATAAATTAAAAAATACAAAACCTTTTCAATCATCGAACCCCATCGTATCTTTAAAAATGATATAACCCCTTCCTGATTTTCGCGATATATCAATAACTAAGTCTTGTATTTTATGACTTTGTATGACTACTGTACTTGTTTGCTTTAACAAAACACAAGGCAGATTCAAACAAAGTACAAATGTATTCATTGTAAAAGAAATACGAATTGTGCCAAACATCTTATGTGGTCTTGTTTGAATACTAGGCTGAATAATATTTACCATAAAATAAATTAAAAAATACAAAACCTTTTCAATCATTGAACCCCGACTTTTTTCGTTAATGTGTTAAACACTTACATGTATACATTTTTTTTTGGGGGGGGGGGGATAAACAAAGAAAGAAATCAATATTCCCTAAAAAAAATTTGTAAAAAGCAAAAAAAGAAAGTTTTAAAGATTTTTAAAACGTTTTAAACTTTCAGCATATATGTAATATCAAAAGCGTGATATGTTTTGAAATGAAAGAAAAATGCCCCAAATGCGATTTTGCAATTTTGTAAATAATAACGTATAGAACTTAGGGTGAAAGATTCGAAACTTATCCTGGTCTGATATTTATTATTTCAACGTCTTCAAAATTAAGACACAAGAAGAAAAAAATAAAAAAAAAAAAATCACTATGATACTGTAACTTTACAAAGATTGGGTCTTGTATTTGTAATTTCATTTTCTTGCAGTTCTAGAGATTTGAAGGACCTTTATTGCCAATGCTAATCAATATGTTTTTAAATATGTGCTTGAAAATTCGATGCACTTATCAACTAGTTTTGAGTTGGGCATCTCTTTTAACAAACTCGTAACTGAAACTATTCCCCGAGGACTATTTTTTTAAAATATTTTTCAATGAAACTATCATTGTGGCATGGTTTTTATATAAAAAAGGTCAATAGATCAAAAAGAGAATAAACAATGTCTCCATGGTGTTATTTTATTTATTTATTTATTATTTCTTTATTTTTTTTTTTTTTTATTTATTTATTTATTTTTTTTTTTTGTATTTTCCAAAAGAGACTTAGGAGAAAAAACGATCCTTTGCGTTTATTTAATAAAAATTAATGAAGCTATATTTCATAAAAGTAATACATATTCACTTGCTATTAGCGCCTTAAATCAAATTACAAACGTATATATCCATTATATTATGAAAGATGCACTACTCCGTTAACTTTGTTTATTGAAATAATGAATACAACTTATTTTGCAACTTTACCGTTCAAGGTACCTCAGTCGGTAGAGCGCTCGCTCCGTGATCGGGAGGTCGTGAGTTCGAATAGTGCTCGCGACTGATTTAAGTCGAAAAAAAAAAGGGCAGCAACTGCTCCTTTGCCATGTGCTCGGCACTTTGAAGTGAAAGTTCCGGGTCCTTCGGATATCGATGAGACCTTAAAAACCGAGGCCTAGTGTCACGGCAGGCGTTGGCACGATAAAGATCCCTCACTGCTCAATAGGCCTTAGTGCCGAAGGTCAAAATTTGAAGCCCTTCTCCGGTATATGGTGACGTCTCTATATGAGTGAAAAATTCTCAAATGAGACGTAAAACAACATAAAATCAATCAACAATCTATTGCAACTGATTTCATGGTCTATATTCTTCATTTATACTTGCAACACATATCTAAGAAAAAAAATAAATTTTGCGGAATGTGCTTATTTAAAAGTATGATTTATATGATGAAGAAAGACTTAAACATATTTGAACCTCTGTTAGACTTTTCTATTCATGTACGTTTATAAGTAAAAAAAAAAAAAATAAAATAAAAGCAGCAACCTATTAATAATGTGTGTTATTTATCAATGCAGTTGCATATGCCTTTTAAAACACAAAATTTACACTGATACTGTATACAGGGTTATTTTCGCCCCTAGTTATTTTCGCCCTCTCACTCTTGCAAAAAATTTTGCCCCATTTAAATTCACCCATATCATAATTCTGTTTAACAAATTATACTGTGATTTCTTGAATTCGCCCCGATTTAAATTCGCCCACTTGTGTGTAGGGCGAAAGGGGCGAAAATAAAACGGTGGCGAAAATTTCCCTGTATACAGTATTCATAATGTGAAAAATTGTAGATATAAAACTGAGGAAAGTACCGGTCAAAACTATTTTTATAGGAATGAATTTGAGTTACCTAGATCTCTGACAAAAAAGGTGGGGGGATGGGTTGGAACAGTGAGTGTTATTTATTGGCTAAAGCAACACAGAAATACCCTGTGCTAAATGTATTTTAAGATTTCAAACTGTGCCAAAAATATTAATAATGTGCTCCGAAGAACTCAATGATGATGTAATCTAAAACAAAGATAATGTTCAAAATCTTCAGTTAGTTATCTAACGTTTAATGTAGATGTCCTGAAGATAATAGCGAGATTTAAATTTCGGTTTCCAGAACAGTTCTTCACAGCGCATTTACATTTAAAAATTGGATTATTTTGGAATCACGTGTTCTATTCCTGAACTGTCGCAGTGGATCAGATTGAATTGATTCTCACATTTCCTTTAGTTCCTGATAATAGTCATTGGTATTTCCTTCATCATTTTCATAAATTTGTTTACTGTTTACAGGATTACATTTCTCTTTTGGTGTTTGAGATAGTGTCGTTCCCTTTTGTCGCCTATGGAAAAGAATAATTTGCAGATATGCCATAATTCATAGTTTGAGGTTTGTTAAAGTATGCCATTTACTACAATAAATGAAACTTAAAGAAGCAATTTCCCTTTGAAATTGTGCTAATTCTACATACCTCTTTTGACAGATATAAGCAATTAAGACTGCGTTAGCTGTTACTGCAACAAAGAAAGCACCGAACATGATATAAAATCTAAACTGCCAATATGATTCTTCTTCTGTTTTACCTGCAATGGAAAATCAAACTTGGTCTCTTATGTATACCGAACCATGAAGAAGAAGATGGAAAGTTTCTTGCAATCCATGAGAATAAAGCAGTTTCTAATGCTCAACAATATATTGTGAAACTAAAATAAATTAAATGAGATAAGTGCTATGCAACTATATTTGCATATCTTTTCATTTATAATTGGGTCATTTCTGGGTATATACATATACATATATTCAAACTTCTGTAGTATAAACATAATCAAAATTTCTTGCCAGATTCGCACTGCTGTCCATAATACCCGGGTTTACACCAGGAACACACTCCAGTCTCAATGTGACAATAACGACAGTTATCGGGACAGGAGAGACAGCAGTTAGGTCCGTAGAATCCAGTCCTGCAACCTTGCAATGATCAGAACAAAATGAGAAAAAAAAAAGAATATAAATTACATCTCAGAGTTGACTGATATTTGTAATCAATTTTCAAGAACACATATACTGTACACTGTTTATAACTTAACAATTCATACGTATATTTTCATTTTACCAGTGTATACAACTTTGTAATATGTGTTTAACAAAAGCACTTTTGCGGCAATTTGAATTCTACGTCACCTAATCAGATTTTATTTTGATTTCTCTTCTCTTGCAAAAAAAAAAAAAAAAAAAAAAAAAAAAAAAAAAAAAAAAAAAAAAACCTTTTCCAACCTTTTCCAACCTTTCAAAGGTGTTTTTGATACATCTGTGTGGAATAAAAATGCACTATAGTGCACCGTATCTGCTACGTCTTAATCGATTAATCTTCATGTATTTCTAACTCATCTCTGAGGTGAATCAACATTTTGCAGGTGGATGCGTTCACACAAAAGTAGAAAAATAATACGGGTTTCTTTGATCATTTTTTTTTAATTGTAATTCTTGATCTTTTTTTTTATTTTTTTTTTTTAATTTATTTATTTATTTTTATTTTTTTATTTATATATATATATATTTTTGTATGTTTGTTTTTAAAAACAATCTTATTTATAGATATGTAACAATAATTAATTTTAGACATATAACATTTTGAAAGACTATATTGTTGTCTTTCTCATGTCACAGAGAACTAGATTATTCTAAATTTTTGTTTATGCGACAATGCTTAATCCATGATTGAAGACTATTCCTAATTTTTTTTTTTTTTTTCTTTTTTTTTTTTTTTTTTTTTTTTTTTTTGAAAATTATTTAGAGTGTCCCGGGATAAAGGGGGAGTTGGTTAGGTAGTTTTCTTCAAATATTACTATTTAATTGAAAAAAACAAAAACAAAAAACAAAACAAAAGCAAAACAAAACAACCCCCCCCCCCAAAAAAAAAAAAATCGCTTATTTGATCAATCGTCTTCATCACATTTAAAAAGAAATATTTTCCAGATCCTCTCCAAAATATTTCGAAAAAAATATTTGTTTTGTAATCCATTGATTCTGCCCTCTTTCTGGTGAAATCAAAACGATCATTTAATTAGCGCATGATCTAACAACTTTTTCTGCAGGACATTCAATATCAAACAGAATGCGCTTTCAATGGTAGGAAAAAAGGTTCATGTAAAAAAGAAAAAAAAACAATCAGATTTATATTAAATATTACGTTAAACTGCTTATTTATAAGGTCATTTTTACATTTTTTTTTCTTTGAGTGAAAAAAAAAAAATCTTGAAGGGACATTAAACAAACAATCGAACATGTTCACTTGACTAAGTGATAACTTTGGGTCTTTTTTTTTTTTTTTTTTTTTTTTTTTTTTTGAGCTCACAATATAAGTCCTACCATACACCTCCACTTCACAGAGGTCATTGTATGCCTTACTGGAGTATTCATCAGGATATTTATTTTTGGAAAGTCTTTCATTATAGTAGATGACGTATTGCCCATGCACATGGCAAGTTATATTAACAACGGAGGGTATTGTAGATCTGGTATAATTTGTGTCATGGAAACATAGGTAACCATCTAGTCGGTTAGTCGTGTTTGATACATAAACATAAAACCCCAGGAATCTTTTTGTGAATTTGTTAAACTCATCTGAAATGTAAAAATACCCAGTTTAAGAAGAATTAATTTTGTTTTTATTTCATGCTTTTAACTTAAAGATAAATAAATATCTAATGTGGCTATTTTAATCCACATCAGCATTTTTCTCAGAATGTTTAACATCAGCTGCATCAATACATATAAAAATTATATTTTTTGAAGAATGATCTATCTGACCACAATACCGGTTTCATTTGTTTTTTTTTTTTTTCTGTTTGTTGCGTACATTATCAGTCTTTCTATGGTATTAATTCTTTTGAAGTGAATACATTTACTTTGAGATTGCAAAACCTCAGACATTGTAAACATTCTCCAATAAATGTTGTTTGAACCTACCCCACTCCATACTTCCAGTCCTGTGATAAATTCTAATTTCATAAATGCTGTAGACTGATGTCAGGTTTACCCACAGAGTAGCATTTTTGTATCCACCAACTGATTTTACACATTGTCCTCCTCGCTTTGTGCTGATTTCAGGTTCCAGTCCATCCACAGCATTACTGGAGTGGTACTTACTGTCTTGATAAGGATTTGACTGCCATGTCGGTTTATTCAAAGCCAGGTTCACTAAAATGACAATGACTTTTAGTTCATACTTTGCATTATATGTATTACTTAATATAGGCATTAGATGTTTGATAAATTAATTTTCATCCGGCAGTTATACTTTGAAGGAAATAAAAAATGTCGAAGTTTTTCATATTTGTGTTTGTTTTAAACATTCCAGCTTTTGTGCTGGCCTAGTCCTGAACATGGCTTGTACAAACATGTATTTACATATCATTATGAAGTATTAAAATACAACGCATTTTATTTAAATGCTCCATTGAATTTTTCAGATTATATAAATCTTTCCAATTCAAATACGAAGATTTCCGGAAGTTAATGATGTTGTTTGACTACCATGCATGCCTCTGATCAATAGAGTTCTACGGTTAAAATCTGCAGTTCTGCTCTCCTCTAATATTGCACTAGATGGGAGCTGACGCCATAAACAATATTTAAAAATCACTTGCAGAGAAATTACGTAGACTTTATCCAAAAATAAACTTTAGTTTTAAATAAACAGACGAGAAATAGAAAAAAAAAAGAAAGAAAAGTGTGCATATTTGCTATTGAGAAGATCAAGTCAAAAACCTAAACCTCAATTTGTATGTATCGATTAACTTGCTTACATGTAAAGAGAAAATGTCAAGTAATGAAAGGCTTATGGCATTTTCATATACATGAAGTGAGAGTGGTGCTTTCTAGGTTTTCAAGGATTTCTAGGAAAAAAAAAGGTACCAATGCTTTACATAAAAAGAAATTTGAACAAGACAGGAGTCATGCTTTGTATTTAGATGCAGTTGAGCTAAGGTAAAAATGCTTGATTCAAGGTTGAATTTGAAACAAATATTGGTTGTATGTTGCTTTTTTTTAATTTTGAAATTAAATACAACAAGTTTGATTCAAATGCTGGTGATAGATTAGAAATTATAATCTATCCACTATAAGTTTTTTTTGAGCTTAAAAATATGAATAAAATCTCGTCAAAAGACTGAAACCATTTTCGAAGGACATTTATGTTTATTGATTGAAAATAGTTTGATTGTTGAAAAGGATTACTTGATGATTTCAGAAATATTCTTTAAATTTTGTCGTTAATTCATAAAGAATTATTGCATATTTGAAAAATCTACATCATCATGTTCCAATGATCGTTGATAAGTATTTAGCTCTAACTTGTTGAGCATATTTTTTTTCAAGAAATTCCTATATGGTATGCAGTAAATCAGGTTACATTTTAAACTTGTTCAAAACTGTAAAAAGAAATTACCTCCTGGGATGGATTAGTAAATCTTAAATTATTAAATGCTGTTCTTAAGCTATAACAGGATAATGAGTTTCTTAATTTTCTAAGGAAAAATGCAAATAACTCTAACTTACCATAACCATCTGTGCGGCAAATTGCGAATGCTAAGCAGAATATTATCATTATTATCACCAGCATGTTGGTTAAATTCTAATAACCTCGGCTGGATGCTAAACAAGTACAATTCCGCTCTGTGTACAAGGATAGTAGACAATGTATATTAAAACAGTATCTGACAGGAGGAAACTAAATTTCGCAGAAAGCTTCCTCAATAATATATTAGACAATACTTTAAAAAATAAATCTGTCTAGATCGCATGAGCAAGAATCAGTATAGGAAGAGGGCATTTCCTTTATGATAAGCTAATGAATATGCATAACTTGTATTCATTCAAACAAGAGAATGATTTCTTTATTATATCATATAGGACATATCAGTTGGAATACAGTGCACTAGAGAAAACAAGATTGAAAGTTTCTATATTTTTATGTAAAGTTAAAGTTTCTCAAATGCAAGTCAAACTTCAGGTCAAGAGATCAAAAATTCTGGTACCCAAATTAAAGAAAGGTCTTGTCTCTAGGAATATACCTGTGAAATTTGAAAGCCCCAGCACCAACTGTTCAAAAATTATGGCAAATGTTGTTTTTTTTTAAGTAAGTAAAACGTCAAGGTCAAGGTCAAATGGGGCCCTAGGGAAGGTCTTGTCAAAAGTGAATCACATGTTCGTGAAATGTGAAAGCCCCAGAACCAAACGTCCACATGTTATGGCCAAAGTTAAAGTTTTTAAAAGTAAGTCAAACTCCAAGGTCAAGGTCAATGCCAAAATCGTTGGTATCCAAAGGAAAGTTTTGTCACAAGGAATGCATATGTGAAGTATGAAAGCCCTAGCACCAAATGTTTTAAAGTTATGGCCTAAGTTAAAGTTTTTCAAAAGTAGGTCAAACTCCTAGGTCAAGATCAAAAGGTCAAGGTTGTTAGTATCATAAGGAATGTCTTGTCACAAGAAATACACATGTGAAGGATAAAAGCACTAGCTCCAACTGTTCAAAGGTTATGGCTAAGGTAATAGTTGTTTTCAAAAGTAGGTCAAACTTCTTGGTCAAGGTCAAAGGGTGAAAGTTTTTGGTTTCTTGAGGAAGGCCTTGTCACAGGAAATAAACGTCAATTTTGAAAGCCCAAGCATTAACTGTTCACAAGTTATGGCCAAAGTTTGATAAAAATGGATTATGCGTTGCAATTGTGCCAAACAATAAAGCGAAAACTGTTGTATTGTTGTATTTCTTTGCAAACCTGCAATTAAATTAACAAGGTCTCTCTTTTTTTTTTTTTGGGGGGGGGGGGGGGGTATGGGGGTATTTAACATAGTCTTATGCATTTTTTTAAATTTCATTGTGTATTTACTTTCTGTTTATCAAAGGTTAAAGCATTATTAATATCTCATTTTGGTGATTTTTTTCCATTATATGTGATACAATTTTTTACATCTCAGTACATCAATGAAATGTTCTAAATTTATGTATGGAATACCATGATAAGCAATTTTCAAGAGTTCAATTAATATTAATTTAATTTAGTCTTAACAAAGTATACTATTTTCCCTATTTTTGTGAAAGTATTATAAAAAAAAATCAAAAATGTGTTTAATTCCTTTTGTCAATGAATTTTGTGGTTCATAATCAATGCATTGTCACAGACCATCATTAAAAAAAACAAGTGTCACCATTTCTAAATTATTTATTTATTAAGTTTATTAAGTTATTAAGGTTCGCATCGTATGGCCACGGCTTACTGCAAATCGATTAAGATGTGTTCAGTGGGTGCAGACCTAATTGGTTTTTGGCACACTTCCAATCAAAACAAACAATCAAACAATCAATCAATCAATATATAAACTGTACACATGTTATTTTTACACTATAGGCTGGCGGTGCGCCAGTCTTATCATAATTTTTTATTATTGAATGTTTCATAGAGGTTTCATGGGGGTCCTCTTTTAGGTACATGTGAAACAATATCATTTAAGATTACCCCACCCCCCCAACAAGGGGAAAAATAAGGAATACTTTTAGATCAATTTTGTTTAGAGCCAAGAAGATTAAATTTACCAAATATGTTTAGAAAAAAAATAAGGGTTTTTTTATTCTTTTTTTTTAATTCTTTAAAAAAAAAAAAAGTAATCCTTAATTTTAATGTATAATATCTATGCTATCCAATCCAAAGAGCCGTAGGCACACCTGTCGCAGATTAAAATGGGGTCTCTGAGGAGACTTCACCCCGAAATATTTTAATGTAAAAGACTGAATAAAAGAGAGAGAGAAACTATTTTCTTCCCTTTACTAATGCATGTTTTTGAATGATAATAATATACTTTATTTCCAAAACATTTTTTGTTCTCGTCGAATTTTTCTGTCCTAAAAATTGTCTTAATTTGATACTTTTTACCCCCCTCCCTAAACTTTTTAAAGCCGATTCTGCATCTCTGTATATCGTACTGAATCGAACGGGATGGGAGCGTTGCTAGCAATTCAACATTGATAACACCATTTCTTTTTCTTAAAACACACTGAAGAATTAGTATATAGGCCTTAGTTTTGTCGACATGAAAAATTGCGCTGGTATGCATAATATATTGTTGTTTTAAATTGATTACCTTTTAATGAAAGCTATACATGTATCTCTTTGATTCGCTCCCTTCATATTGTCTATGACAACTGTATACAATAGCCCCTAATAAACTGTTCATTTGCCACAATTCAGCAAAAACATACATATATATCTAATGTAATCAAATTCATATTTGATTTAGATAGCAGAAATTTTCGGTATTTGAATTCAATTTGCCGACGGTAATTGGCAATATAAAAAAAAAATATGCATACAACGTATTGTTCCGATTTTTTAAAATTTAAAGTTTGTCCCATATCGTTATCTGTTTATAATCATACTGTATACGTAACATGTGCGTCATTCCAAGGGCGGATCCAGAGGAGTGGTCAGAACCCCCCACCCACCCACCACCACCACCTCCATCTTTTTGCAGACAAAACTACACTTGAGAAATGAACAAAAGCCTTCATAAAAATTAGTATGTACTGATGAATTGTAAGTCTTAAAACTTTCCCATGTCTCCCAAAGAGGAAAAGGAAATGTAAATTGGATGTAGACTGTAAAAACTGTCTAAGCAGTCAGGTTGTGAATTCCCTCTACCCCCCCCCCTCCCCCTTTCATTTTGTGCATCCCCTCCATTTACAATTTTCTGGGTTTAACAATGAATGTGTTGATGTGTCTTAATTAAGGTGAATCTAAACCGTGAACATCTGCGCTTTTTTGTCGCGAGACGTCATAAGTGCAGATCACGTCAAAATCCTGTAGATAGACAAATTAGTAGAACAATTAAACTTCTTCATTAATTCATTGAATATCATTTCTGTTGCAAAACAAAGGAACAGGAAAGTCTAATATGGGTATAATTTTTAGAGAATAAAGAGTTTTTTTGAAAACTTATCAAGTGTTTGAAATAATTGTTTTCAAAGAGTACGAGTTCGGTACCATAGCATTTAAAATCACAGAAAAAAACATTAGAAACACTGTCGAGGGCATTTGAGTAGACAGAGATTCAGTTAGAATTTCGTATCATATTTTGAGACAAAAAACGTTTTGGAACCAATTAATAAAAAGCATAGTAGGAGATTATAGACCATGAGTAAAATAATAGGAATTGAAATATAAATAAGTCTTATAAACTTGGACTAAATAGGGCTAGTTTATATTATGA